GTCATAAACTCGTTCGTCTCAGGTTTTGTCTTCTAATGGCATCCTGACTCTTCTTACATGCAGAAGAAAAGCTGTAATGATGGGAGTGAAAACAAAAAGAATAACGAGAGTTTCAGTTTTTAGGTAGCTCGTAAAAATTTCAAACGTCGCAATGAATTTATAATTAGTGAGTAGCTTATGTGTACCCTCCTCATTGTGAAACATATGTTGATCGAGATTCTTTAGAATGCTATGATTCTTGGTAAAACAACACAAAACGGCAATATGATTTTCTGGGCATTCCTCTCAAATCAAAATCTCTCAGACAGTCATACAACTTACGTTAACGACTGCTAGCGACCGTAAAGTGATATTTTTGGACTTCGCCCGAAATTGCCAAAGCTGCAACCAGTGGCTAATAAAAAGCTGAAAAGTGTATGCTTTCGTTAATATGACGAAGCTAACATCCACAAAATTAATAAAACAGCAAGAAATTACAATCTCTTGGGAATTGTGGCAGACCTTGAACTTAATGCATCGTAAAAAGCGCGCTAGCCTCAAAGTACTATGCAAAATCTATTTCACAGATTTGACATGGAACGGAAAAAAAGAAGCAAATTAATGATCAAAATCTTCTTGTTTTTACGACTAAGTTGAAAATATTCAATGCGGGGCCTTAAGGCATTCTTGGTCAAATTGATTTTATTTTTATACTTCAGTATAGAGTAGCCCAATGGCTCCAACCTCTTGGTGTCATCACTACATCGTACGGACGCATTACGGTCTGTTATACAGTGTGGTCGCACAATTAGTTTATTCTAGCATCAATGTTCGGGGTTTCAATAGTATTAAAACTGTAAAATTTATATGGCAGTGCTGTTACTTTTCAAATTTTCCTCTTCCATCTTCCAATGTATACAAACTTCCACATATGTCAGTGCTAACCACACAGGGGCAGGGGTGGATGTCAGACAGTGCTACGCTTATTTTATTTATCTTACGCTTATTTTGAATATTTTATATCTAAATTATCTTATTTTCTCGCTCTAGCATGAATTCATCAAAAGCATTTTTGAGAACGACCAAGTTGGAAGTCCATACAACTTTTTTTGCGAAAATTTCTAATTGATAAAATCTTTTCCATATTCAATTTAAATTTTACCTGTATTACGACTTCAGCGGATTTCTGGCGGTCATTTTGTAGGGCTTGTTTCATCTGTCGAATGGTTACCTAAGTCCCTTAGGAAAATAACAGCTTCACTTTCAAAAAATTAGTCTATTTTTTGACAACTTGATAGAAGATTCAGGATAGTCCGCCATCTAATCCAGTACCTAATATTCTCTTTTTCTTTGAATACTTTTTCTCTTTTTCAGGTCCACATGCGTTCAAAAGTTTGTCTAGGGGTTTTCAGCCTACGGATTACAGTTGATGAATTATTGTGTAACAAAGTATCATTTTTGAATGATCAAATTGACATGGAAGAGCAGACACCAAACTCAATTTTGCAGAGATATCTTTCTTTCAGATGCTGCTAATTAGAATTAGTATTCTAATCTCCTCCTTTTTCCACAAAATTCTGAAGAAATATGGATTTTTGAAACATCGATTGTGCATCTAATATTGCCTAAGAGATCGGCAATCGTGCAAAATCAAATATCTTTAAAAATATCAGAAGAGCTGATTGAAGACGTGACCAGCAGTAATAATCGTAAATCGATAAAGCTCTAAGTATTTCCGAAATAATTGCTCACATTTATGCAGGAAATTTTGAAATTTGTCTGAACAGTTCTTCGCCTTCCTTCTGCTTTCAAAAACAGCTGATTTTTTCATCCCCCTATTTATCATGATATCATTACTGCAAATTCAGACTTTCTCAAACTTTAAAGTATGGTTTTCTATATATCACAAAGTAATTATCTGTGAATTACTGGGAAGAAAAAGAAAACAATTGGGCACAAGCCCTCGTCCTCATTGCAAACATCTTTTCTTTTTTTCTTCACAAAACTTTTCAATTTTTTATTCCTAGAAAACTCGATTTCGTCTCTTCTTCTATTGTTCCTCCCAATGTTTGATGAACCTTGGGGTTAATTTGTTCCAGCACTAACTAAACCAAAGTGACAATAGCACTGTATTTTTCGTCAATTGAAAAGTTGTTTGATTAAGATTCTTTAATGAGTTTAGCATAAATATTTGACTGATGTAAGGATATCAGTCGACCATTTTGAGCAGGATTATCGATTTATTTTTCATGTGTTTTGATTGTAAAGTTGGAAAGACTAGGTATGAAATGATCAAGCGGCTTACTTTGTTTTAACTCAGCTGACAACTAAGTGGATAAGAGTTTTGTTTGTTCTCATTTTTTTGTTTTTCCTATAAGATCAGCTCAAATTCCAGCAAAGTCGAAGTAGAGGTGCGACCAACTAAGAGAAGATATTGTTTAAGGAAAATAGCGAAGTAATAACACAAAATGTATTTAGATGACATTATTGTTGCCATCAAACATCCCACTTTTTCATTTTTCAGCTCAGCCGTGTCAGTATCTAAAATACAACGATTGTAAATAATACAACGATTGTAAATATTGTCCTGCATTGTAATCAGACACTGGTTTCAGCGTTCTCCAAAACACTTTCGAAGTTTGGAAAGGTGTTTTGTCAGGCTCGGAAATAGTTGATTGCTGGATATCTTATCAACTACTGACTATGATTGCGAGAAAAGTCTGGATGCAGAAAGTCATTAGATCAAATTTTGAGTTGGCCTCATCCTTTGGTAGCAAGAACACTGAAAGTGAAGTACGTTGTAGCTGAAAGGGACAAGCGTTTCGACATGGGTAATGCAGCCAGAAGTGCCCTAAAAATGAGGTGCTTATTAACTGAGAGTTCTATTACCGTCTTTTAGCAAGCCTTTTTGTATATACTTATCATCTAAGTGCGCTATATCTTTCTTCAATGCTAAATTTTTTTTATATTAAAATAGCAATTTAACTAAACCTACTACCCTAATTTCACGCGTACAAGGCGCGCGGATTTTTTTCCAAAATCGGCCCCCAAATACGCCAAAGAACTTCGCAGCCAAAGGACCCTTTGCCTTGCTGTATTGCTTAAGAGATTCGTACGGCATAAGGATCGCTTTCCGAAATAATTTAAAGCGGCTGAGGGGCTTAGTCAAAAAAATCGAAAAAGTGCGCCTTGTACGTTTGAAATCAGGGTAATATGATCTTCAGGATTTACGATAGGAGACCACAGCTGCAAACATTCTGCCTGAATTCACTATATGAATCGTATGAGCTTCAAGATCGTCTTTAGGTACCCATTCTGACTAAATAGGCAGCTGAGGCACAAGCACACTATTATAGCCAATTAGCTAGAATAAAGATGTTCTTCGGTTTTGGTCCTTCTTTAAAACAACAAAATCACAAGCAGAGCTTATTCGCATATTTGAGGCATCCTATAGTTTTGCAGACTTCATTATGCTATAAAATGATAGTCAACTTCATATCACAATTAAGAGTTGATTAAGAATTTCATCTACTCTACTATGTTGGGTGATCGGGGACCTGGAGTATAGAAACCCGTTGTAATTAGCTTGTAATCCCAAAAATTCGAAAAAAAATTGGCGTTGTATATCCTGCTTTAGAGGCCCCAGTGCATCTTGGTCGTGTTCGAGTACTGTAGCTCTGCGCCTCTGATTGGTCGGATCCATGGATATAAAGAGGGGCGGATCAGCCGATCCTAAAAGGTCCGCCCCAAAGATCCTCCCTAGCAACGATCCATATATAAGACCTACGAGGAGGTGGAGTCTTTATTCAAACAACGCTCTCGAAGCTAGCTGGCTTGGGCAACTATAATACCTTAGTAACCCAAACATAGCTACCACTGTTGCTTCTTGAGCCATTCAAAAGTTTTCTCGAACACTCCTAATGAAAAATGATTTTTTACTACAACCAGAGTAACTCTTTAAAAATAGTGTGTATTCTAAAATATCTAATTTCTGAGCACTTTAGTGAAACTATTCGTGCTTCCGAAAATGTCGACGAAGAACACTGTAATCTTCATTGCAACGCTGATGATGCAGGTATTTTGCCACAAACATCTCATAGTTGTTCAATCCAATAAAGGGTTGCTATGCAAAGATAAAATGTACCATATAGTGCAGATAATGTAAAGATAGCAAAGTTTCAGTCCTTTAAGAGTCCGACATCATTTAGAGAATTGGCTAAATCAAATTCAAATTCCGTCAATTATGCGAGTTCGCTCAAAAGCAAGAGAAACTCTTGTTAACCACAGCAGCACATAAGTGAATACCATAAAGTTGCACCGTTATCGGTAAAGCTTCAAAAACTCTTTTTTCTTTGAAACTCTTCATTTTTATAGAAAAAAAATTTATGAATATTTAAAATGCTATTCAAATACTTCACCCAACTTGATTTTGACGCAATGCTTGCTCTGTTCTTAGTTTTGCGTAAGCAGATTTGGTTAAAAATAAATTAGGGGCAAGTAGGTTGATCTTTGTGTTAGCAGTGCCCCCATCGATCTGATGCAAAAAGCAGTTTAGGTTTTGAAGAATTTTATTAAGCAATGCCTAGAGAATCAGCTTTCTTTTTATGTTCTTTGCTGGTCTGTCAATGTTTGTTTGGTTTCCTCTGCCATTGACAGAACACCTCAAATCGTGAAAGATATTGTCTATCCGATTACTGGAAAGCCAAACAATACTGGAATACATACCTTAGATAACAGAAACGAAAGAAAGAGAAAGAAAATGAATATTGTACCGACAGAATGGAAATACTTACTTTACAGATCTACACAGCTAATTCGAATACGTTTACACCCTATCAAGGTAATTTCACTGCAAATTTCACGTACGACCTGCCGAAAGAAAGCGAGGAAGTATGCCTTCGCACATGTTTCGAGGAATCTGACTGTACTTTCGTTCAATACAATGAGGCAAGAACAATCGTAGTTTTTCTTACTCTCTTCAATCACTTCTTTTCTCAATAACTTTCCCTATGTTCCAGAATATGTGCACAATTTTCCAAAGTGGAGAAGTCAACCAAGCTGGGCGTGGCAAATTATTTGAGCTTCATCGGCAACTTGTACTACCAACATGCAAGCGTCCTTTACCTCTTGCTCCAAATGTGGAATTTCAACAACTCCCCGAGCCAACCGTGGCACAGAGCGAGTCTAGAAAGGCTCAGCTGCTTGCCATGAACACAACTGCGTCCCTGACCATCATAGACTGGGTTTATTTGAGCGGCTCCGTGTTTTACTTGAAAAATACAAAAATACCTGACGCTGCAGGTCACATCAGAAGGTAAAATTTTTTTGCCTATTAAAAGCTTTCGTCGATGCCGATGTTGGTATAACATGAATCTGCAGCTTGCAAATCTCAAAAGATGATCAACATTTTATGTTTCGTTTCATTCAGCTTGTAAGAAAACGGCAATCACGCTGCCTAATTTAGAAAGTTAGCTGCGTTCTTTCACAAAAAAGGACAATTTACCAAGTTTTAGTTTAAATGACAATGAAACACTTGAAATCATTTAGATATGTGTTTGCGAAGGCACCAAATCCAGAATGTGTCTCAGTTCCAGTCTTTCAAAGAGCAAGTAAGTGTTAGAAACTGCTTGAATACTTTACGAAACCAAACTGAAACGCAAGCTCCTCGCTAAACCTTGGCATTTTTGACTTTTGAAGTCATGTCGATCTAGACCGCGAGGAAGAAGGCAAAGAAAAAAACAGATTGGAATGTTTTTGAACTTCAACGAAATGGATGAGTTTACTGTATTACTAAAATCTCAACAAACTATGATGCTGTCTACAATTGGTGAATATCTCCACGACTTATGTTTGATGAAGATAGCAGAAACACAGGTTGTAGTTATAATCATGTGTATTTAGGTCAACGCAGGCTCTACTTTGGTGATGTCTACAACGTCACCGGATATACCTTCCTGAATGCATACGCATTCACCGACCGCTGTGCTTGTGCAGGAATTTGCTGTGGACAAGTGCCCATACACGAGAGCATTGAGCATGGCCTCTACTATTACTCCTATAACGAGGCATTAGACAACCAGAAAACCGAAGTGAACCAAACCCTGTACATTGCCGGCATTCTGAATGCCGATAATACAACATGGCATGGCATGAGCAAAAGTGGTTGCTAGACTGATGCTTACCGAGAAATAAGCGCTCCTTACTAGGGAGGGATACAATACCGTAGTAGCAATTGTCAAGGGGTTTATATTGTCAGTCTTTCGAGCTGATATTAGATTCACCTTTCACCTTGTTCAAGCGATTTGTTTGAAAAAGTAATTAGCAATTATAAGTACGAAATTTTGTGAGTATTTAGTCTCAATCGCACAATTGCAAGTGCATCAAAAATACTAACAGATTTCTAGATTTCTAGCAATTGTGCCTTCCTCATAGACAATATACTCCTTACCATTCTAGTCAAGCGCTCTCAAGCTGATCTTTGAAGCAGATTACACTAGAAGTAGTATAGTTTGTCACTTACAAACGCGTACGACTGTTTTCAAAGAGCCTTTCAGAAAAATGCAGATTTAGATCCAAGTCTTTACTCTGATTTTGATGATATAACGCGTCTCTTCACGATTTGTCAATACTTGGTATCCTTCTCTTGTAAAATGCAGGGCTGCTTGAGTATTCGCAGGAATGCTCATGACTTGGGGATATACGTTTTTTATGGCTAGAACCTGTAGTGCTTCTCACGAATGCAATGATAGACTTGCAAACCTTATTGCTTGATTTGTTGTGATGGATTTTTTGGTCATATATATTTGGTCGCAATAAAGTGTTGAACTGTGACAGACGAAAATCGAGTCACCTCTGAGTGGTCGCGTGAGATTTTTGTAAAATCGAAAATGAGTATTGCGATGCAATCAGTTCCACAGAATGCACCGCAAGTTGGCCACGTACATTTTACTTCTCCGTAAACACTTGAAAAAGCATTGAGCGACACGTGCGTAAATCTTTGAAGAATTTGATGCAAATTAATTTAACTAAGATTTTGACTTTGGTTACTTCAAATCACTCTTCAAGTAGTAGGTTGTGACATAAGATGTAGAAGATAAAAGCTGTTGGCAGCGGTTCTGACAAGCTGTCTCATAAAATTTTGCAGATTTGTTGGAGACAAAATTCGTAAGATTGTGCCACCATTATTTCAATACGCAGGCGTGAAGTCAGTTTGCATTAGGTAAGTCCAAATGTAGGGTAGTTAGCCTGGCGGTATGAGGCGCAGCTATGACCAGATGGGACCAAGGTTCGATTTTGTTCTCTAGTTCAAAAAAAGGGCTTTATTCGTTGAGAATGCTAATTTGGAACTAGAGTATTCTGGGAGATAAAAACACTGATTTGGTAATTGGCTAACTTAGCATATTATGATTTTCTCTTCGACTACAAAGTGGTTTGCGTTCGGCGCATGCTTTTGAGATATTGTTGATGTTCGATCTTGTCTCCTCTTCTGTGAAGTAATGCGGGAAAGGTAAATCTTAGACCATAGAAATCTAAGATATTGCTGCAAAGCGCCAGAGCACTTTCATTTGCATTTATATCACTCCAAAAGTTCTTTTAGGTCCACTCCACCCAATGACCCAAAATTCACATCACGAGTTCCGCTGTAAATTTAGATGAGTTTCTGCTCACAAAGTAATCTTTGCGCAAAGTTACGGCTTTTGAAGACCGCGGAAGGCATACGATGAAGATCAAAATTTTTGATCCAAAACTTTGCATAAAGTTTATTCGAGATGATGATCACGATTTTTGATTTTCTGCACAAAAAGTGAGCAACAAAATGCTTTGAGTGTTGACAAATCTAACTACGACCTCAAAGTAGTTAGTAACATGAAATCGACACGACATTGCCTATCACCTAAAATATGGTTTTAAAACTGCAACAACGGTGTTCAGAAAAAAGTCAAATAATAGCTTGCAGACCAATCTGGTGTGTTTTAACATAAAATAGCATACCTAACTTTTCGGAATGGCAGGTATATTGTCTGATCTCTGCTGTCCTAGGCCTACCAGTTGAGAATACCCCTGGTATAAGCTCAAAAGTATACATGGGATAGCTACACTACAGTAAGACATTAATTATAAAATTGATAAGAAAGACCAAAGTACGTAATCTCATGGTCATTTCTTACAACAGCGTCTTTTCAAGTTAAGATAGAAATCCAAATAGAAAGTAAACTTTTGTAAACTTGCCGTGACACAAAGGTTTAAATTTGCTCTCTTTAAAATAATTTTTTGACCATTTTTATTTAGAAAAATGTAGTTTCGTAAGCGTGAACCCGGAACATCATCCGTATGAGCTTCACATGACAGTATACTAGGCAAGGAGGAATTGTTTAAATTCTAAAAATAAAAGGGAATATTTTCCAGAAACTAGGTATCTTTTTGTTCTAGCATGCTTATGACCTCGGCCCATCGTTCCTGCGCTTTGTCAGCGTTTTCCAAGTGTAATATCATTTTGATCTCTATATGAAGCCTGCAGGTAGTTAGTTTTCGCCATGGTGTCTAGACGATGAGCAAATGAGGCACCTCAGCTAGGTAATAAACTAGATGAATTAGGGATGACATGAACGAATAAAATGGAAGCCATCACTAATAGACACTTTGGTTGATTTTTTCTTGGTGGATTTCGTGCAGAGCGCTCTAGAAGTCTTCTGGAAAAATCTTATCATGTCTGAAAAGTTGTCGTTTGTTCCTAATTTACCTTAAAAAAGCACCTTGCATTCGTAAACCGAAACGAGACTAAACCATCGAAGATTTACCTGTTATTCCCTTTGAGCAATTTTTTTCATTTTCTTTTGTGAAAGGTGCGACTGCCGCAGCATGCACGTACTCGCTCTTGATTTCACTAGGTCGGCTAGAATTTTAGTGACTTTTATGTCGGTGCAGATTTTCTTGAATTTGGTTGATTCGTTTCTAAAGCTAACGGCTTACGCTTTCTGTGAAGATGGCAACTGAAATGAAAATGAGAGCGGGATGCCAATGTCATAGCACTGAATTTACGGCCACATCAAATTTAGTGAGAATCTATTTGACAAGTCGTAACCACTATCAAAAGCATGTATTTACTTACTACATACAATGCAGTAAATGCACCCTTTTCATTCGTTACTAACTCTCTTCCAACAAAGCCTTTTGCTTAGCTCAAATACCATTCATTAGAGCAAGCTTCAACTCAAATTTACAACTGAGCGAATCGTCCATAGCTCTTCACTACTGTAGGATCAACTAAGAGCTTCCGGCTACTACAGCACATTATGAAATGGCATTTGTAAAAAAAATTTCAAGATAATTTGGAAAGCTGAGCGTTTTCAGGCCTGCTAATTTCACTAAAAGATTTTTTACGAGTTTTTCAACGTTTTGAATGATTTTTATCATACTTTTGAAAACAGTGAAAGTGTTATTGCAGTTACATGGCTTAACATATGATAAAGTTTTTGAAGCAATTCCATATTTATAGTAATCGACTCAGTTTAGTCTAGTGATAAAGTATTAAGCTTGATGAGTATCCGTTCTGAGACAAAATGTAGCCATTAACGGCTCAAAATCCTTTTCAAAGCTTCTACCGTAATCTTACAGTAATCAAAAGAATTGAATGAGTCACTTTATACTGTAATTCTCACCATTGATGAAGCCTGCTACTTAGTGTTCGACGCTAAGCAAAAGACTTTGTGGTAAGAGAGTTCTTACCGATTGAGAAGCGTGCACTAAGTATTGTGACAGCCTCCAAATAAAGGATGATGTGTGTACATATGTTCCGAGAAGAAAATTTCATTTGTGAACCGATCCGGACTAATCTTTGCACACTCACACTTTAAGATAAGGCGCACATAGTAGGCTACTTTTCGTTAACGAGTAATATGGATTTTTTCGATTTTCTACCGATTATTTTTGCAAAGTGCCACGGGCCTGGAATCCAGCAGAAGGGGGGGGGGGGGGGTAAGTGAGCATGCTGATTACGAAAACATGATGAAATAAGGATTTGGCATGTAGGTCTTTCTCTTCCACAAAACGTAAATACGTTATTTTGAAATTAATGCCAAGGTTGACACATACGATCGGCGCATGGTTTGGTTTTCCTCAAACTTGGGTGATTAGACCGGAAATACGAACTTTGTAAAGTTGCGCAAAGAAGTAATAATAATGATGTTGAAAGATATCTTTTTAGCATAGACATAGCAAAATGCGCAGATAAGTGATTGACTGGTGAGAGCTTTTATGGCACAGAAATTGCAAAATCGTAAGCCACTGATTAAATGGGGTAAAAGCCTTTTTGGCTTAGATGTGACAGACAAAATACAGAGACAAAAGCTATAGACAAATGCTTACATAAAATGGTAGAAGCCTTTTTTGGCATCGAAACGGAAGAAGTGGGCAAATGAATATCCCTAGCCTTTCTGACCTTGAGATGGCGAAAACCAAAGTCAAATACAAACAGTAACCAACAAGAATAAACCAGTCGAGAAGCAAAAGGATGCTTTCATCGAGCCAAAAGTTGCTCGGCTAGCGGCTTTGTATCTAGCGCACTCATTTTTTGGACGATAATCATTGCATAATCTGAGAATAGCTCGAAGCTGGAAGTTCTGATATAGGATAACGTTCTCTTCGCGATTCAGGGGCGTTACAGTGATCATAGATTAAAATGCAACAACCTCAAGGGAATATCGCAGCGTTGTGGTGAATCGTTTCAAAATGGCCTGTGCGAGGCAGCAGAGATAAGCATTAGCTTTGTTATAAACTTTTAACACATGCTGATCTGCTTATCCTCGTAGACCCTTGAGAAGTAATTCGTGGCATTTTCCATTGCTGTTTTAGCTGGTAGGAAATAATAAAAGGCGCTGTCCAGCTATCCGGGCCCCAAAATTTTTTTCGTCGTGGATTTGGCTCAAACTACGTTTAAGGAGTTATTCGACCCAATTATGCCGAATCTTATATATAAAGCTGAATGTCTGTTTGTATGTATGTATGTCTGTCTGTCTGTTTGTCTGTACGTATGTTCCGAATAGAAAATTCCATTTCTGAACCGATCCGGACCAAACTTGGCACACATACACTTCGGGCCCCGGCGGGTGTCATAGGCTACTTTTCGTCATCGATCGATATCGATTTTATCGATTTTTATCGATTTTTTTGC